CTTACAAGAATCTATAATATACTGTTTATTATAGTACTATTTTATAAACTATACCGTTTATTATAGTATTACGTTAGTACTATGTAATTCATAAAACTTTAACTCATTAATCAAGGAAAGAGACCAGAAATGAAAAAAAAAAAATTAGAATTAAATCAGAAATTAATCTAATAATACGAACAATACGAATATTTGAACCTCTTTTTTAGACAATCAATCAAGGATTTTTAGCGCGGAAATTTAAAGCGAATTATCCTTTTTTAAATGAGATAAACATGAAGGAAACGAAACTCGATCGTGCCCAGAGTTCTGAAAATGAAATACTAAGAATTTTTCAAGCTTTATTATTGTCTACTTGTATACTACTTGTAAATTATCATAGCGTTCGTTATGGTCAAACAGAGTATAGTATCTTGGAAAATGGCGAGATTGCTAAAGGTTATACTCATAAAGCTGTGATCACATTGAGCTTAGGTTATTCCATGCCGTATGCAATTATTTCTTTCTTGGCTATTGGCATGCTTATTTATTCTCTGGTTTCGGTAAGAAAGTTTTATTAGTTTTGTTATTTACATAGAGTATTAGTTGTAATAATTCATCGTAAATATTAATTACAGTAATATTAATTATAGTAATAGATATATATAATATTAATATATATCTATTATAGTAATAGAATAAATGTTATATATTATATAGTAATATATATATATAATAGTAATAGATATATATAATATTAATTATAGTAATAGAATATTATTCGTTATAAATATTAATTACAATAATAGAATATTATTCATTATAAATATTAATTATATAATAATAATATTTAATTTCATTCTAATAATTGCTAAATATTGTAGAAAAATCCTCGATGGAGTCTACCATCGATAGTTCTCTATCTGGCTGATTTTGTTTGTGGTATCAGTGAGGCTATTGTTGCTATTTGGTTATTTTTTTCCCATTTTTCGATATCAACAGCTTTGTCTTATACGACAGGAACAATTTTACTAATATGTACATACATCATAATTCTATAATATAATATGTAAAGTATTCCTGAAATCGTAGTACAATCAATACAATCGGCTAGGCTATAATTCTACACGTAAAAATAAAAGTAACATTTTTTCGTTTAAAGCTTAAATTTTGAAAATTCATCACGTACATTTGAATTTCACTAATTGGATAAGTGTGATCAATCGACAGGAGCTTGTATTTTGTATAAAATAAGTCAAAAATATCGAGTAAAATTTTGTCATAAGATGCTTTATTTCTAAGAACATTCAATTTGAAAGTTTACCAAGTATATGAAATACATATGCTGAATCAAATCTTAAATGTGTTTAAACGAGGCCTTAAATTAAAAAATTTCATTCTATGTCTCTGTTTATTATTATAATATATCATTATGCAGTATGTTTGATTCAAAGTTTGTGATGTTTCATCTGAATATTAATTAGTAAAATATGTAATATGGACTATGGAAAAGTAAAAAATAGAGAAATCCATTTAAAAAATTTTAATGTTCACCTTAACAGGACGTAAATTGATAAAATAATTATATGTCCCTCTTGATATTATACAGCTTTTATTTGAAACAATTTTTTGTGGTCGTATTTTTCTAGATATTTGAGCGTTTTTCATTAAACTACAATATATATCAGTATAATAACTCTTGTCCGATCTAAAATTAGCCAAATTTTTAAATTCGACTTTTGCAAAAACGAAACAGAATTATTTTCTAGTC